TAATCCTTGCTTACTGATTGCTTGTTCAGTAATTGTTTGATGTTACAATGGCATTGAAAAAGGAGACTTAAGAGCAATCTTCAAATTTGCGTCTGTTACTGCCACATGATTGGGAATAGGAGGTTTTGTAACCAGCAGACATTTATGATGATTGCAGTGTCACACAGTCACATGATCACGATTTTCACAACTGATTTCTGAGAAGCAAAGTCAATAAGTAAAACTGCAGGAAGTTGCAAGTCACAGTCATGTGATGTCATGTTTAGCGATATGTTAGGCACAGTTATGTGATGTTTCACTTTACAACTGTGTCGCTTAGCAATGGAGTTAATATGGATTTAATATGGAAAAAATTGTAAATAAGCTAATGTAAGTAGAAATTTAATTGAAGTTTTCTTTCATTTTCCTTTTTTTTTTTTGGTTGTATTACTATAATTACCATTACTATATTATATACTGTTTTGATGTCAATTTAGTCCAAACTATAGATAAACGTGGTTAATGGGTTTTACGTCAGGTGAAAATGTGATTGTAGGACCTTTTCAACACACCAGTTAGTGAGTTATATACAGTTTGTATAATCAATCCAATCCAATTGTTTCTACCTGTAGATGCACTGAGTCCCATCCATCAATTAATGTTTTCTTATAAGAACTAAGATGCAGGCCAACTCTGTTGCAGTGCCTGCTCTCTGGAATGGTATCTCCCACCCTTTTTTCATAAGCTTTGAAAAACTTGGTTGTTTTCACAAGCTTTGGGATAGGGTGGTGTGGAGCCCATTTTAGTTCAGTTAAATTTTTTCTAGTTTAGGATTGAGGGTTTGTGTTTTTTGGTTTGCCATGTTCTTTTTATAGGTATTGTTTCTCTTTTATATGTAAGCTACTCAGAGTCATCAAGAGGTGAGAAGGCCTCAAATTGGCCCTATTTAATTAATTGTTAATAATCCATAGTATAAATTGCATAGCTGCTCTAATTTATAGAGCTGTTATATGTCAGCTCTCACACATAATAGCTGACACAGGTGTGCTTGCTTTTTAGGTTAGGAGTTGGGACAGCAAATGTCCATGTACTTATTCACTCAATTCATAAGTCACACTCATGTGCACAGAAACATCCTTACACTTAATTCTTTTCTTCTCACAAAATGTACCCAGATATTCACCTCTGAATTCAAGGAGTAACCTCATCCCAGACATTCAAGTAATAAGTTGGCTGTGATGACTTGATTTCCTGCTATTAATAGTAGAAGGAAGCCAGCTTCCAGTCTGATCAGTTAACCAGTAGGAAAAGGTGATTTCTATGCACTGAATCACAGCTTCAAAGGGGAAAATGCAACTAAAACAAATGACTAAGCATTGCATTTTCCAGTGCACTTTTCAATCAAAAAGATCTGAGAGTTTGGAAAGAACATTTGGGTTTTCTGAGTTTTGCTCTTAATGAGTGCAAACCCTGTCCCTCCTGTAGCAATTTATGTTTCGGGAGGTTAATTTGCTTAATGTAGCCATTCTGCCAAAAGGAATCACTTAATCTTATGGGATTCTGAATGCCAGTGTCAAAAGCAATGGGCTGTTCTTGTTTCCAAGAGACTGCACTTGCTTTCAAAACATAGCTAATACTGGAAAGAAAGAAAGCTTGCGTGTTGCTATGTTAGCTTCCTGAAGTTGAAATTTGCTGAAGCTAATATTGTGGGTCATGTGCAATGCAAAAGCAAGCAAAAATCATGTTTCATAGGCACATATAAACAGATACATATTTCATGGGCCCCCAATTCTTCCATATTTTTTTTTTACTAAAACAGTGGGTTAAAATGCATTTTAAAAAATGACAGCTGTATTGATTATTTAATGGGGAGGGGAAAAAAATAGGGGTCAGAATGCTGAAATAAGCCTGCTTAATGCTCTCCTGTGCTGCAAACCCATTATCTACAATGATAAAAACCTTCCTGCAATCCTTATTAATGTTTAATAATGCAGAGCAACACTAAGCTAAATTACATGTCAAAATGGCCCAAGGCTTCTGTTTAGAAAGCATATGAGACTCTGAAGGGATAACTGATTTCCCCAAGCTCCAGTTGTGTATGAGAACAGCAGCAATAAGCATTATTTCCCATTTGCTCCTTCATGTCCCACTATTACACTGGTATTAAAAAAAACAACAACAGCAGTTCATGGCAGGCATCCTGACTATACAGAAAGCACTATATCATGACATGAACTTGCTCCCTGTCTAGTTAATTAGGATGGTGGTAGGTGATTTCCTCAGACCTTTCTTGCCTTCTATTTCCCCATATCATGCAGCATAGTCATCAGGCATGACAAATTTAGCAAATGGTATCAAACCAGCTTCATAAACCTGTATTTCTGAGGCCTGTGCCTGTAGAACTCTACTGAGCTGTTCTTTATCAGATGTCAAGACATTGGTCACTAGGTCAGTATATAAATCCTTAAAGTAAAATGTTAACTGTTTACTCCAAGAGTCTCATCTGTATTCATTTTTTCAAATGTATAAAGAAATCAATTTTAGCCAATCAGTGCTTTGCTGGAATAGTATCTATCTATCTATCTATCTATCTATCTATCTATCTATCTATCTATCTATCTACCTATCCATCTATCCATCTATCTGTCCGCTGCATAAAAATTATAGCATCCTGTAGAAGTTAAGCTTCCTGGTGCTTTTAAAATGCAGGATCTATGTTCTTTTCAGTTAATTTATTAATTTCTATTTAATTATGAATTTTGTAGTCATCCATGCTCTTGTGCTTTAATTATGTTGAACTTTCAGGATACATTTTAACATGAAACAAATCTATCTATCTATCATCTATCTATCTATCTATCTATCTATCTATCTATCTATCTATCATCTATTTATATCCCACCCTTATTATTTTTACCCTTAAGGATGCAGCATTAAATATGTACAAGAAATAAATGTCTATTACCCCTTCTTTCTGTAGCAGTCATGAGGAATTCATTAGAAGGAGGCCTTGGTGCACAGGGAAGAGAAAGCATCAGTGCAATATATGAAAATAGAAACAGCTTTTCCAAAGAGATTGCAGGATTAGAAATGCTCATTGAGGCCACAATCTGGGGGGAAAGGATTCACAACACCAATCACAATCATGGCTTTCATTTAAGTTTCCTTATTAAGTACTTGCACGCTTTTAATATCATTGGGTCAACCTTCATATCAGGACATGGCAGTAAATTGCAGTTCTCCAGACACTTAATCCCTTACTTAGCAAGTGGATTACTTGGCCAAAGATTGTCATATACAACATGGCTAAATTAGATTCTACTTCAGGCAAGAATAAAATCATAGAGAGAGAAATGGCTTGCTTTCTGCAATGCAAAGAAGTTAAAGCTTTCAAATAGGTATATGCTCCAAACAGTACATTCTATGCATTTTTCTTCTAACTTTCTGAGTTAACAGACATATGGTTGTTCATTTGGTGGCCTTGAGCTGAACAACTGAGGCATATTTCTGTAAAATTCTCTCCAGCCTCGGAACTGCTGGTTGCTACCTCATCAGGTTCATGGTTAGCTTGGCTTTCAGTAAACCAGTCAAGTAAGTGTAATTAAGAAAAAAAATCCTGAATACTAAATATGTATTCTTGACAGGAAATCTAACTGAATTTACTTTTACATGAATGTACTTCAAACTGCAGTCTCCGGCTTAATATGAAGCTTTATCCACAAATAAACAAAGACTACATCATTTTATATTGCATGTCAGGCTCACAGTTTGTAATTATATTCAGTGTTCTTGATGTTTTGGACTGCAATTGAAAAGATGAAGTCCAAGCAATTTGGTGAGAAATCTGTATCTTATTTGATATTAACTCATGAAAGAATTAAGTGACTTTAGGCAATTTGCTTTTGTAATCCTTGAATTAAAATAATGCTCTCCAGACAACTTATTTATGTGTACTGGGTATGTTTGTCTGTTTGTACTTATGACAAATAATAGCATGGCAAATTTACAGTAAGTTTGTTTTAAAGAAACATGCTCCTACTTTGGCTAGATGTGCAAAGATCATATAGGAAGCACATCCCCACTTGCAAAATTATTTTTAGGCTTCTGGAAATTAGAGATTAATATGGTCTATGAACTAAAATAAAGACTCACACTAAAGATGGAATTAGCAAGCATGGTCTATATATAATTGTGAGCGACATAATTTTGAAATTATAATTTTATGCTGTTTATCAATTATTCTGCCAACTTTTTTAGTTTTAAAGAATGTAAAAGAAATTGGACTTAACAAATATAGTAAATTTGTGATATATGATTTAGGCTGAAACACCTTCTAAAGTAAAATTACTGTAAGAATGCTACTTTGTAAAATGCACAGTAAGTGTCAGTTGTATACTATTCTTCAGATCAGTACTACTATTACATAAAGGTTGAAATGCCTACAAGCTCTCTAAGCCCCTGGCATAAAATACTTTCAGCATCAACATGCAAGATATAAAAGATAACAAAGAAATGATTGATAAATTTGTTAAAGTATGCTGTGATTTATGCTGTGAGATAAGGAATAAATATATAATTCTTACTTTAAAATCACTATTATTTTGATTATGTTTATTGACCGAAAATTGTAATAATGTTTGGCAATAAGGTGAATGTGTGATTTGCTTACTTATGAAACTTGTATAGCCAACCATTTTGCCAAAAGTGAATATGGATGGTGCGCAACAATAATGTTTTATTAATTGCATAATTCATATGGTTAATATAGCCTCACAATACAGTATGCTAGTTCATTTGGTAAATACGATTGAAATTACCTTCAATTCAGCAATTTGCACCCAAAATTAGAGTATTCACAATTGATAATTTCTGTTCCTGCAAAAGTTTGGTTGCTTTATCTAAAATATTTTTTGCTAATAATCCTTGAATATATGACAAATAATTTTTCCAGATTATAGTGAATCAGTTTTAAAGATAACAACAGCATCCAGTATCTATAAACATTGATTTCCTTTTTATAGAGGTCAAGCAGCTTTGGAAAATTTGACCATCGCAGACATCACTCAACATCAAAACCAAATGATTCATCTGAGGTTTGTATATTGTGCATTTACATCACATCCCTTTGACTTTTCAACATACAATGGAAGACATATTTTGTAAAATAATCAATTTAGCTCCATTTGATTAAAGTTTATGACTTCTAAAAAGAGGAAAATAAAATATTTTTCTCCCAGTCTTTTGTTGTAGAAAATAATAACCCCCCATGCCACCTTATCCATAATCAAAATGCAAATTGTTAAACCAGAGTGCATGAAGATCAAAGGGCCTGTGGTATTATTAATGAATGATACTAGTGCTTGCTGTTTTGCGGATCTTGAAATCCTACAGCCATACATGACCTAAGAATTTTAACAAAACTAACAAATCTTGGTTCATTTTGCTACTCTGCCAAATTTTATTCCTCTTCCAGTGGGAGAAGTCAAGATCTTCTGCTTTTAAAATGTTCAAAGTCCCCTAAAGAAGTGAAAAGAAGGGTTGGTGTGATAACAAATCTCTTGTACCAAATGCCATATATCATATTTCTCTTGCAGGCTCTGGGGTTTCTCTGGCATTGTGAAGATTTTTGTATTTCTTTTGGCAATCTCTTTTACATTCTTCTTTCACTGAAGCAAAACATTTATTTTTTAGTAGAAAAGTTGTGATTGAATTTGTAGATTCTTACTGATGGAACTTTTGCTATGAAAGAAGTAGAGCTCTATTTCAGATGATATGTTGCCATGTAGAATCCAGCAAATGATTTTCATTATGACATCACTGAATAAACACGTCATTCACAAATACAATGTAATTGATTGCAATGGAAAGCTTGAGGTTACAGGATTCTGGTTCATGTGGAAACAACTGCAGCTGGCTGTGTCACAGCATAATTTAGAGAGGGGAAGTATGGTTCACAGTACACTCAGAAAAATATATTATCTGAATAGAGCTTACAGTTTGCACTGAAAAACAATAGCTAGTCATGTCAATTCTTATAACACATATGAGTGATCTGCTTCAATTCACTCTATACAACCAGTATATATATATATAACGTGTGTGTGTGTAATTATTAAAAGCTTTTCTTTCTTGCCCTCTTTTTAAATAGCTAGATGAAGTATGTGCTACATGTGATGGCACAGAATTGAGACAAAACAAACCCAACAATGGAGGAAGCATTGGAAAAAAGATGCGAGCCATTTCCATGACTATGAAGAAAAAGATGGGTAAAAAGTACATTAGGGCGCTTTCAGAGGAAATGGTAAAAACTTCTTTTTATTTACTGTTTTGCATCCTGAGATTCAGGCTCCTTTTTTTTTTATGCAAGTTCTTGGGAAATTATTTATAATTTTATCTTTCTGTAAAATGAGCATTTAGCCAACTATAGCAACTATGACTTTAGAATAGAATAGAATAGAATTCTTTATTGGCCAAGTGTGATTTGACACACAAGGAATTTGTCTGGGTGCATATGCTCTCAGTGTACATAAAAGAAACGATACATTCGTCAAGAATCATACAACACCTAATGATAGTCATAGGGTACAAATAAGCAATCAAGTCATATTAGGAATCAGTCAATATAAATTGTAAGGATACAAGCAACAAGGTTACAATACAGTCATAAGTGGGAGGAGATGGGTGATAGGAACGATGAGAAGATTAATAGTAGTGCAGACTTAGTAAATAGTTTGACAGTGTTGAGGGAATTATTTGTTTAGCAGAGTGATGGCATTCGGGAAAAAACTCTTCTTGTATCTAGTTGTTCTGTGTGCAATGCTCTATAGCGTTGTTTTGAGGGTAGGAGTTGAAACGGTTTATGTTCAGGACGTGAGGGGTCTGTAAATATTTTCACAGCCCTCTTTTTGATCCATGCAGTATACAGGTCCTCAATGGAAGGCAGGTTGGTAGTAATTGTTTTTTCTGCAGTTCTAATTATCCTCTGAAATCTGTGTCTGTCTTGTTGGGTTGCAGAACCAAACCAGACAGTTATAGAGGTGCAGATGACAGACTCAATAATTTCTCTGTAGAACTGTATCAGCAGCTCCTTGGGCAGTTTGAACTTTCTGAATTGGTACAGAAAGAACATTTTTTGTTGTGCTTTTTTGATGACGTTTTTGATGTTTATTTATTATTATTTATTATTATTTATTATTATTTAAATTTCTATACCGCCCTTCTCCAGAATAGGACTCAGGGCGGTGAACAGCCAGAATAAAAAACAATACATACAAAATTTAAAAACAATTTAAAATAATTAAATATTATTGGCCGTAAATTAAAATAACCCAATTTAAAATCAATTTAAAATTAACTCAAGCCAGCCCCGCTAGTTGAAATAAATGGGTTTTCAGGGCCCGACGAAAAATCCGGAGGTCTGTTATTGTACGTATCTCTGGGGGGAGGTTGTTCCAGAGGGTAGGCGCCGCCACAGAGAAGGCTCTCCCCCTGGGGGTCGTCAGCCGATATTGTCTGGCTGATGTTAGGTGTCCATTTTAGGTCCTGAGATATGGTAGAACCTAGAAATTTGAGGGTCTCTACTATTGATACTCTGTTATCTAGTATTGTAAGACGTGGTAGAATGGGAGGGTTTCTCCTAAAGTCTACCACCGTTTCTAGAGTTTTGAGTGTGTTCAGTTCCAGATTGTTCTGGTCACACCATATGGCACACCTCCCATCTGTATGTGGATTCATCATTGTCTCGAATGAGACCAATCACTGTTGTGTCATCTGCCAATTTCAATAGAAATTAACAGATGGATCGTTTGAGATGCAGTCATTGGTATATAGAGAGAAGAGAAGTGGAGAGAGCACACAGCCTTGGGGGGCCCCTGTGCTAATTGTACAGGTATCTGATGTGATTCTGCTTAGCTTCACCTGCTGCTTCCTGTATTTTAGGAAGCTTATGACCCACTTACAAGTGTGTTCAGGTACCGCTAGCTGGTTTAGTTAAGTTAGAAGAATGTCTGGAATAATGGTGTTGAATGTTGTACTAAAGTGTAGAAAGAGGACCATTGTGTAGGTCTTTGGAGATTCAAGATGTTGTAAGATGTAGTGCATAGCCATATTAACAGCAACATCTGTTGATCTATTTGCTCTGTATGCTCTGTATGCAAATTGCAGGGGGACTAATTATGAAAATTGTATATATTTACAATTCCAGTACACCATCTACTCAGAAAGATTGAAATAAACAAACAAACAAACAAAAGACAAAGACAAAGGAAGAAGAAGATAGTAAACACACTTCATTTTAACAATCATTTTGTTGTGGCTTTTTTGCATACTTGCAGTTTTCCATATCTACGTATATGGAACGCAAAAGAAATTTAAGGTTTAATATCAGGTGCCTGATATTTTTGCTAGGTATTAGGAATGTCTTTAGCTAAGATTAACCTTTTGATAAATACCTTCCATTGGGCCAAATTTTAAAAAGCAAAGTAATTGTGTTATAGCAAAAAACCCTTCTGAAGATAACTCATTGACTAAATCTTAGATCCTCGCAGGCATGTTCCTCTATTTATATTTCATAGATCCTCTCACACCACAACCATGCAACAATAACAAAAGTTCTGGTTTTCCATGAGAAAATGTGTTTGGTTCTTCCCATACATGAGGGTATAGAAAAATTTGTTTTTTGTGCAAATCATAACTTCCTCTCAGGGCATCCCTTTCTCCAAAGATAAAGCAGAAAAACATAGCTTCTTCCTATCCAGGTTATCCAAAAAGACCAATTTCAGACTCCAAATTTTCAAATATAAGTAACTTTTTTTCCAGAAATCAGATAACTCATAATCACAGTTTTAATGAATACTCAGGAGGTTCTGTGTAAGGATATCATGATGGAAAGGCATGCAGCAAAAAACCTAGTGATATAATTCTAATAGATGGATAAGCAGAAAAAGGCGCTTAAGACTTGCCTTGCCTCTGTTCCTCCTTCTCCAAAATCTTCCACTTTTTTTATATTGTGAAGGTAAAATTTAATATATGTTCAATGAAATGTTGTTCAACAAATGTTGTTCAACAAAATTAAAAAAATAATGTGGAAACAGTTCAGAGAAAGTCTGTAAAATGAAAAGAGCAGGATTTGTTGAAAGTACTAAAGGTAGCTGCAAAGAATTTTAAAAAATGAGTCTAGCACAGAAATGAGTCTAGCTCCGGAGCCACATGTAGCTCTTTCACCCCTCTGCTGCGGCTCCCTGTCACTCAAAATATGCATCACAACTGCCAATGTGCGACACCCGCCAGCACATGATTTATTGAGCTTTTCAATCTCCGGTAGGCCAACTATGGATAAATCCAAGAAAAGAAAAGTTTCAGAAGAAAACAGAACATTTAATTCAACTACATATGCTAGTTTTATGGCCGCTCAAGAAATAGTCAGGCTCCTGGTGTTTTCTTTTCTGTGGGAAATGGTCCAAATGGCTCTTTCAGTGTTTAAAGTTGCAGACCCCCGGTCTAGCAGAAGGTAGACAGAATTGACTGAATATTCATTAAAGCAAAATATGCAATGCAAAATATATAAATATAAACCGGTTCTAAAAATGCATTGTGAAGGACTGAAGAAAGAAATTGCTTCTGGAAATGTCACAATGATGTCCTGAGAAAGAAAACAATGCTAGTGATTTTTATTCAAAGGACAGAAAATAATACACCCAAGTTTCCTATGTGAGTAAAATGCATGTTCACAAGTCCTTCATGCAGCATACTGTGGGAAAAATAAAGTAAGACTATATTCAATGATTTCCAATAGAAAATCTTAAATATACTAAGACTTTCATGCATAGAAACCAATTTGTTTTAAGATTTAAGAAAAAAAATGGGTCAGCTTTATTTAGGAGTTAGTAATAGAGCTGTTAGTAATAGTAACTGACATACAAAGTTCTTGTGAAGCTATTGTTACACAATTATTTATCAAATGGTAAGTAATGACCATGTAAAGTCTTGATATTATAATGCTTCCTATAGAGCCAAGGTAGCGCAGTGGTTAGAATGCAGTACTGCAGGCTAATTCAGCTGACTGCTAGCTGCAGTTTGGCAGTTCAAATCTCACCAGCTTAAAGTTGACTCAGCCTTCCATCCTTCCAAGGTGGGTAAAATGAGGACCCAGATTGTTGGGGGCAATATGCTGACTGTAAACCACTTAGAGAGGGCTGTAAAAAAACACTATGAAGCAGTATATAAGTCTAAGTGCTATTGCTATTCCTTGCCTGAAAACAATTAATTAATAAAAATGCCTTGTTAAAAAGTGGATATTGTGTAATGAAGAGCAACATCTAAAAGAAATATTATCTCTCTCTCTGATTCTCAAGAATGAAGGGGGAAAAAGTTTTTCTACTTCAAATAGGGACAGTGACCCTGGAGGAGAACCAATCACAGCTTCTATAAAGGCAAGTGACTCCATGGACAGCCTCTATAGTCTTAATAGCGGCCAAAGTTCTTCAAGTAAGTAAAAAATAATTATATAGAAAGTATATGTAGCTGACTGAAAATGTTAACCTTATTTAAATCACTTGCCTGAAAATAACACAATCCTTTTCTAGTCCAGAAATTGTAGATGATCAGCCTGGTAGAAAATTCTAGAAGTAAATATTCCAGTCTTTTCCATTCAAAAGTTATGTCCTCCAGGCAATCAGTGAATCTATAAATTAAAAAAAAGTTTGTATACTCTCTGCATATTAATAATAATGAAATATCAATGCATACTTGCTATTTTTGTATGCATATTACAGATTCACAATAAAAAATAAATATGGCAAATGTAGTACTTTGGAAATTCTTCAAATTGATTCACTACTATTTTTTTTACAACAGTGTAAAGTATTAATAATATCACAAAAGGTGATCGATTTATTAGATCTACAATTAGCCAGGGGAAGATAGTTCCAAAGGTGAGAAAATGCATAATCTCTCAGTTGTGTCTGAACAATTAAAAATGAAGCACCATGTTCTTACAAAGCATATATAGGATATAAAAGACATTAACTACAGTAGTCCTCAACTTACCACTAGAATTTTGACCAGAATTTCCATTGCTAAGCAAGGCAATTATTAAGTCACGCCCAATTTTACAACCATATTTTCTATGATTATTAAACAAATCATTACAGCTGTTAAATGAATAGGGGATTTATTAAGTGAATCCAGTACCCGCCATTGAATTTGCTCCTCGAAAGCTCGCTGGGAAGGGTAGTAATCATATAATCCCATAATGATGCAACCATCATAAATAAATGACGGTTGCCAAGAACCCGAATCTTGATCATGTAAATATGGGGATGCTGCAACTATCATAAATGCAAGGATTGGCCATAAGTCACTTTTCAATCTTGTTGAAACTTCAAACAGTTGCTAAATGAATAGCTATGCTGTAAATTGAGGATTACTTGTAAAAGGTTTCCAGGTAGCTATTTCAACAGTGAGAAACACTGCTAAGAAATTGAAGTTATATGAAACTTGGCAAGATTCAGAAGACCAAGAAAAAAAATCTGTGCAAAAATGGCTAAATCGGCAATTCAGAACCCACAGATCTACAAATGAGCTCCTCAAAATTTTAGCTGACACTGGAGTTGTTGTCCAATCATATACAGCAATATTTGGCCTGTAAGAGTTGTTAGAATATAATCTTTACTCAACTCATTGTCTAAAGTATGTCTGAATTAGTTTGAAATGTTTGGGAACAAAGTGCTTTTGACTGATGAAACACAAACTGTTGGCCACAATACAACACGGCACATTTGGAGAAAACGAAGTGAAGCATTTGAAGAACAGAATACCTTGCTGATTCTTCCTAGTTGCTTGGCCACAAATATTTATGTGGGTGGAAACATAAATTCAATTAAATAGCCCAATCATTATAAATTTTATTGGAAGTGAGCTCTAGTACTCTGGGGATAGGGTCTAGTCATGAGGATAGTATCTAAAATTCTTTTTCTTTCATTATAGCAATAAAAAATACATATTAGGACCTGTTCTATCTGATTGTTAATACACATAAATATTATGGAAGAGCTATGTTCTGGTGGAACTCAATGGTCAAATAGCAAAAACTAGTAGATATTTTACTAAGATGTATTATATATATATATAGTATATATAGACCAGGTGTCTTGATAGAAAACACTATATATATATCTATATTTCTATATCTATTTCTATATCTATATCTATATCTATATCTATATCTATATCTATATCTATATCTATATCTATATCGATCGATCGATCTATCTATCTATACACACACACACACACACACTTTTACGCTGTTAGTCTGTTTCATAAAGTTGCCTTTTTGTTTTTGTTTTTTAAAAAGAAACCTAAATAATTCTTTATTCTAAAGCAGAATTGTTCACTGACATACCAATTCAATTTTCATGCTCTAGGTCTAGGTCAATCATATTTTCAAGTAAACATGGTTTCTGCCTGTTGAAGTGCTCAAATACAGGATAATATTTTGCAGATGTTTATCTTTCTAATAATTTTAACAGGAAGCTCTAAGGGTTTGCATGAAACAGAAAACGTATTTTATTTCAAATGGGGAAAAAAATACACCCTTTGTATTTTGAAATTCTGTTGTACTATAAAGGTTGATCTACTGTATAGTTTGGCAGACCTGAAATCCAGACCATTCAGTTTCTTTTGAGTTGTGGATAAAACAAAATGTGCCAGCAATACCTTTTCCTTATCTCACTTTAGACTATTGCTGATACCGTAGCTTTTAAGCATAACATACCCATCTGTCCCACCCACCTCTCCAATCTTCCCAATTCATTTCTTTTTCTGTCTTTTAGCCATCATTGCTGTTGGTGTCCTGGGCTTCAAGTGTAGCCTATACTGTTCTGACCTAGGCTTCCCCAGCAGCACGAATCCGAGTTCTCGTCCTGATAAACCCCTTTTATTTAATTTACAGTGAATTCCTCTCCAGCAAAGTCTTTCCTCTCCCGCAGTCTTTCAAGATAGTTCACAATTACCGACCTTTATCAGACTTGGAGAGTGGCCAGGCTGATATCTTTCAGATGCTGCAATACTTGGCAAGAATGCAGTAATGAACTAATTATCTCCTGCAAACTCCACTCCCTTTTGCTCCTCTTTTATTCCCTCTGGAAGGGGCCATTCATCGTCCACCTGTGACCTTACTCCCAAATTGACTCTTGTTCTTTAGCTGTTCCCTTCATCTGGCAACTCTGCACATGTGTACACTGGGAACAGGCTCCAGCTGTTCATCTGCCTCACTGATGTCTGACTCCAAAGGCAGCTGATAACTGGCATATGGCTCTGGCCCGCTCGCTGCCTCTGATGCAGAGCCCTCATCAGAGCCTTCCCCAGATTCCAGGACTGGCTCATGTTCCTCCCCAACCTCCTCACTGTCTGAATCTGCTGCCAGATCCGCTGGCTGCTGGTGGGCCACAACATATACAATCAGTCCATCCATTTCCCAATTTTATGGGTATCCAGCTGCTACCACCAGGCCTCCTCCTGCCAATACTCTTGTTGATATTTGTTATTGTTGTGTCTAGATTAAGTGTCCTTCTATGTGTGCCTAGGCCAAACAATTAAACCAAAATCAACCATGGTTAATGCATGGAATGTTTTTACATCTCTCTTTTTGCATTTCTAGTGAGCTCATCACATTACTAAACATATCTTAAAATTAACCGTGTGGATACCTCCGAAAAGTTGAATTTCTAGGGCTTCTAAACATATTTCTCTCCTTAGTAGGTTTTCTGCAATTAAAAAAAGACAGAGTAAAACAGTTCTAAGAAATCATTGGAAGGTTACAAATGAAAAGTGAGATTGCCTGAATTGTATTAATACTATGAAATGGGGTACTGAAGAATTAAACCACCATAAAGTTTGTGTAAACATTTGTATTTCATTATTGAACATTATGGTTGCCAAGTGTCCACTATTTGAGCAGACAGTCCGCTTTTTTCACATTATGTTCCCTATTTTTTTTCACAAAATAGTGGACATTTTTTTTATTCGAAAGCTTTATGATGAAATGGTATGTAATCTAAAGCTGTACAGTCTAAGAGAATAAGGATAAGAGAATCGTGTTTTGTCTTTTTTTTCATAAGTTAGAATGAGACAAAGATCGAATGTCCATTGAACTCGATTCTCCAAAAAAATTAATGATGAGATTAAAATAAAAATATATTATAAAATTATGTACAGTTCACATTTTTAAAATGTATTGTAGCTTGTGTCAACTGACCTAAAATGGAGTCGAGTGATGAGAGTGACAGCAGCGAAATTTCGAATTCTTTAAAATGAAAGAGAGGAGTGTGCAAATACACCAAAGACTGGGAAGCTACTTTTGCATGGATTACCAACAACGAAACTGACAGAACAAATATGACGGCCTACTGTAAATTGTGTCAGAAATCGTTCACAATTGAATATAATGGTATAAAAGCTGTCACATAGCATGCAAGCACAAAAAATCATTTAGATAAGAAGAAAATAGCTTCCAGCAACAAGCGAATCAATTCGTTTTTCATTGTTAAAGACTCCTCTTTCAGTGAGAAAGTGACTGTAGCTGAAATGGCTGAAATTTACCATGGGATCAAACACCATATTTCTTTCCTGGCTCAAGATTGTGGTATTAAGTTAATGAAGCAAATTTTTGATGATTCAGAAATTGTAAAAAAGATGTCTTGTTGAAGAACCAAATCATCAGCTATTGTCAATGAGGTTTTGTATCCTTTTTCTATTGAGTTGGTTCTCAATAATCTTAAAACTGGAATTCCATTTTCTCTCTCCACTGACTCATCAAACAAAGGAAATCGCAAAATGTATCCCGTTGTTGCACAATATTTTATTTGTGAAGAAGGACTGTGTGTGAAAATTTTAGACTTTTATGAGGATTCTTTCGAAGATTCTACATCAATAAAAAATCAGCTGTGTTGAGTTCTTAATGATAACGAATTGGAAATAAATAATGTTTCAGCTTACTCAGCAGATAATGCATCGGTCAATTATGGAGTGAACAAATCTGTTTACCAAAAATTATTGCTGGAAAATGACAATATTGTAGCTGCTCATTGCAATAATCACATTTTACACAACAGCGCAAAAATGCATTAAAGCAGTTATCTTTTGATATCGAAAATGTAGTGCTGAAGGTTTTTGCCGAATTTTCGAATTCTGCGAAGAAACGAGAAGAGTTGAAATCATTTTTTGAGTTTTGCGAGTCAGAATTCCATGAAGTTTTGCGCCATGTTCCAACACGTTGGTTAAGTTTGTTTAAAGCGGTCGAAAGACTTCTTTTAAACTGGATACCTCTAAAATCGTATTTTATTTCTCTTGGATCTGATGAGTGCCATAAGGTTATCTGGAACCTTATTTCGGATCAGGAAAATGAACTCGCAAAGGACAATGAACCAACAATTTCAGAATTGTATTTATATTTCACGCACTTCATGTCAATAATGCAAGACACCCTACTGAAGCTGGAAAGCAAGAAAATTCTTGCATGTGATCTTCACATTATCATGTGTAAGCTGCGTGATTCTTTGCAAAAAAAATACGATGAGCAGTTTTTTGGAATGAAAGTTTTATTTGCCTTACATAAAAAACATTTGCCTGAGAATGCCGTGCAAAAGTTCAAGAAAGAAGCCATCAACGTGTATCAAAGCGCCATTGCGTACCTAGAAAAGTGGTATAATTTCACCGATTCAGTATATGAGACACTAAGTTGTTTCAATCTAATTGATCGCAATAATCCTCCAACTTTAGAAGAAATGACGAACATCTGGTTATTATCACCATGGCGAGAAGAACTTCCACCCAACACTCTCTTCGATGAAATTTCTGCCTTAGAAGAAGCTTATGTTCATCTGCAGGGCGATTCATCCCTTGTTAAGTGGACGTACTTTTTCAAGAAAGAGCCAGCTCCGAGTTTACTGAAACTGTTCCAGTATTGTGCATCAATTTCGGTATCAAATACAAACATTGAACGAATTTTCAGCATCATGGGAAATTTGTGGACTGACGAATGTAACCGACTGCTTGTACCATCAGTTCGAAGTGAACTTTGTATATTTTTTAATATTTCTCAATGTTGTACTGAAATTAAAGAATTATTCCTTAAACACAAAGAATTGATCAAAGCTGCACAGTCAAATAAAAAATACACACGACAGCAAAGTAAAATGTAATTTAATATTTTACATATTATTATAATATATTTGATGTTTTGAATTTTAAGTAAAGTTTTGAAGTGATTATTTTAATACGTGTTAAAATATTTGTAAGAAAATATATAATTTAATTGTAAATTTTTTTTATTTTTTTACTACTTAACCCCTCCCCCCGCTTGTCTGCTATTTTTTGTAAGCAGACCTGGCAACCCTAATATTATGAGATATCTTATAGCTGTATATATGTAATGCCAGTACATGGAGGCATTTGTCCAATATGTTTCTTAGATGAATTTAATTTCCCTATTTGGCTTTAATTCAGAACAAGGTTCACTGTAACCAGATGCATCTAATATTCATCTGCTATTAAAACTCTCATGCCTATTTGTCTATTGATAACCTTCAATTGTGCAAAATTGTGCATCATAGGATAACAATTGTTGAACCAAGGTATCTGACATTGGCTAATTTACAGAATGCATCCAAAATGGAGAACACATTACTCTAGTCCTATTAAAGTTTGGCAAAGTTGTAACCACTTTACTGCTATACACTTTCCAGAAATCTGTAGATTGCATGGCATAAGAGAAGTTAGGATGAACATATTCCCACTCTCTTTCTTATTTCCCTCTGACCCATCACCCAATTGGCTGGTAGCAAGGCCCAATGGGCAAGTGGTGATTGATTGTTTTGGAACTAAGGCCAAAACTTAAAATACCTTAACAGCAGTGATCAGCAAGGGAAAGACAAGGGAGTATCTCAGATGTCTGCTGGTAAATTAGGATTGGCTGAGGGGCATCAGCAGTCAAAGGATGAATGATCATCTCTCTGAAGGGAGGGGACCTTTAGAGATATGCCAGGATGAGGAGCAAGGATGGTCCATTGATCCTTTTGTTCCCCCTACCCCAAGCAAACTGGTAGGCAATTCAGCATGTCAACCAAGGAGGCGGCTTCAAGAAGTTGTTCCTGAGTGTTGTGAGAAGAGGGGAAACAGTGCCAGCCTATATTATATATGAAAAGTAGGATGACCCAATGGGTGATTTAGTTTCTTTTAAAATCCTGTTCTCACAAAAAAATGCATAGGTTTATTTTATCATTGCCCTACTTCTGAATTTAATTCCTGTTGCCCAAGTTCATTTCTTTGTAGAGTTTTTAGAAACATCATGATCTAGCAAGTCTATTTAGACTTCTCCCAGATATATTTAAGCAAACTTATCAGGCATAATTATTTGCTTGTTATGTATGCTGCTTTGGAGAAAATATATTCACAGTATCACTGCTATCAAAAGAGCATTTGAGTAGTAATATTCTACTAATTCTACTACAATTAAATGTGCTGAAGCAAGACTCTTCAGCTCTGACCAAAAATAGAACCTTAGAAACTAAAACTTTCATTCTGCTGTGCATCCCAGTCCTTGTGTCTAAAAGTGTATTCAGTAACATGTACAATAAAAATTCATTCTCATATGCCTGAATTTAGAAGAAATATTCAATGGTTGATTGCTTAAATAATATATTATATTATATATATATATTATTAGTTTTTAGCCTTGAGGAAGATCTACACTCTAGTCTTCAGATCACTTTTTGCCAATTCAGACTTTAATGACATTTGTGTTTTTGATTTGTGGATTTTGAGGGCCACATTGTTCATCTATTAACATAGCCTCAGAAATAATTAGTCTGAAATATGTGTGAATAAATTATGGGAAATGATTTAGCCAAACTTAAGTAGTACTAAGTCTCATAAATTCAATAGAACTATTCCAATGCTAATTTGGAGCATTCAAATTATCTGAGTTGGAAAAAAAACCCAGGCTCTCCTATTCATTGTAAAAAAAAAAGCTTATTGGCTTGGCAGATGAATATTAACATTGGTGATATCATAGTAAACATGTGGCATATAGAGGCAGGAATAGAACTTGCAGACTGTCTCTATAGTAGGCAGCTCCCTCAGTTTACCCCAAAATAGGCTGACTCTATCTGTAGTAGAGATGTTTATATATAATTCTATCTCTTCAAAGTTTTCTTTGGAGTAGTTTGATTTCACATGGTCCCCATTTTAGAGATTACACAAAAATTAATCATTTTTATTGCTTCCAGGTGGTGTAACTTGTTGTTCAGATGGAACAAGCAACAGAGACAGTCTAAGGTTTGATGAAGAAATAAGTTATGTTGGACCATTCTGTGGCAGAGCCAGAGTACACACAGACTTCACTCCCAGTCCTTACGATTCAGACTCTCTAAAAATCAAGGCAAGATTTCTTCATTCTATACATATATTAATGACTTTGTGCTTTAAGCTTGTATAGCTCTATTTACTAATTCTGTTGTAGTTTCTTTGCTAGGATCTGCTCACAGATGATTCCAAAGACACTGCTATATAATATTACTTCACCTATAGCTGTGAAAGCAGTAGGGGGTGTTTCACTTTTCATACAGTATTAACAAAAACAAGATGATGCTTGTGTTTGTGTCACCAGCAAAGGAAAGTGTGAATAAGAGTTTCACTCCTCAGTAGAAATAACAAAGTAATAACTTTAACCTGGGGAAAAGAGACTTCTGCCTAAATTACATTTTCCCCCCTAAGCTTATCAGTGATATGAAACTGGCTGAAGGGAAAACTCACAGGCACTCCAAAAGTGTAATAATTTAATTTAAGTGTTTTCAAGTATGGGATAAACTCATGTCTTGGATCAAGTCAAAACCAATATAATGTGCTAACTCAACTACTTTGGACTGCATTCAAAACCATTTTTAATTGTACATGGAGATGGCAATTCTCTTTTTCTGCTTAGTCTTCCACCAATCTCTTTTCTCACCTATCTAGGGTTGTACATATTATTTTGACCTTGAAATAGCCACCCAGATGTTTCCACCCTGAATCAAAATGTGTATTTCTAAAGTTTTGCTTCTAAGTTGATCCAAAATTTTATAAATCTGAGTTTTTTCAGTGTTTCAGCTATTTCAAAGACTGCAATTGGACTACTGTTTTTATGACTTTTCCCCCAAATTTATCTAACCCTCATAACAGCATTATAATTACTATTGGCTTAATCTGTATCGGATAATGTAGGAGTGAAATGTTGATATCAAAGGGGGTAGGAGAAGATTGGTATTCATACTTGAATGCCTGCCTGTGTGGTAAGTTACTGATTGGATTGTTGTCCAATTCTTTTCCATTGGGAAAGTTAAAGTTGATGTGTGTGAATAGGCTGTATATCATGCACTTTATTTGCAGGCAGTTAATTCAAATGTGTGCACTATTGTGAGTTGTGCATTGTATTACTAATGTTGACTATGGAAAATGCAAAGCTTATAACAGAGCGTTGGGTTTTTTGTTTTAGCTGCGGTCCTTCCACTGCATGAAAATTATAGCATCCTGAAGAAGTTAAGCTTCTTGCTGCTTTTAAAATGCAGGGTCTATGTTCTTTTCAGTTAATTTATTAATTTCTATTTAATTATGAATTTTGTAGTCATTCATGCTCTTGTGCTTTAATTATGTTGAATTTTCAGGATACATTTTAACATGAAACAAATCTATCTGTCTATCATCTATCTATCTATCTATCTATTTATCATCTATCTATCTATCTATCTATCTATCTATCTATCTATCTATCTAATTTCTTAACTACCCATCTCTTAAAAATAGAAAATATACATTAAGTATTGAGTTGCATGTTCACTTTCTTTAAAGTAATATACTTCTTTCAATAGAAAAAGCTCAGCCATATTAATCAGCAATCATCTGTTATTTCATTATATTATTCTTTATTTTCTATTCTATTTTCCTCTCGGTCTTCTTATAGAAAGGAGATATAATTGACATCATCTGTAAAACCCCAATGGGCATGTGGACTGGTCTGCTAAACAACAAGGTCGGAAACTTCAAATTTATTTACGTGGATCTGATTATAGAAGAGGAATCTGCACCCAGAAAGATAAAATCTCGCAAGAAAAGTAAAAGGGCCAAGCCTAATTCTCTTCAGGAATTCTTGGAGCAAATCCATCTCCAGGTTAGCTAAAACTGGTAATGTGTGCACTTGAGCTATTCTTCACTTTTAGTTTTGTTTCCCAGCTCTAAATTGCTGCTTACGTCCATGGCTTGCTTTAGACTAATATAGCATTTCTCCCCTTTGGGGATTACTTTGTTTCAAATTAAATTGGAATTCGTGGATTTTATTCAGTTTGATTGTTATGTAAATAACAAGGTAGCATTAGTCTGGTTTCTACATGCTAATTTTCCCCAAAATTTTTGATTCTACCAAATAAGGATCTATCCCTTATTTATATCTGCTAATCATCTTTGCATCCTTCACCGATTCTCAATCTTTTATCATAATCAAATCAATCATGTTTTTCAGTCATTCATTTTCCATATGCACACATAGTTAATTTTAAACTTAAATACATGAAATCCAGGTGAGATCATCCATCACCATGGATTCAGGTATCTGCCATATACCAATGATACCTAACTCGATACTCAAGTTCCACTGCTTGTGACCCAAGTGACGCTGTTGCTGCCCTGTTGCGGTGCCTGGACGCTGTGGAGGCCTGGATAGAGGACAACAGGCTTTGACTGGCAAGATCAAATGGCTTTGGGTGCATGGGGTCCCAATATCTGGGACTTTGTTATCTTTGACTGTGGATCGGTAGCACTACTCCAGATAGATCCAGTCTGCAACTTGGGGGTTCTCCTGGATTCACAACCCTGGCCTAAACAGCAGGTGGCATTTGTGGCTAGGAGAGCTTTTGCAAAACTTCAGGTTGTGCACCAGTTTCAGCCTTTTCTGCATCATGAATCCCTGTGCTCAGTCATTCAGGCTCTAGTCATCTCACGGGTGGCTTATTGTAATGCGCTCTACATGGGGCTACCCTTGACCAGCATTCAGAAGCTACAGCTGGGGCAGAGTGTGGTGGCACGGACAGTTCTAGAGATCAAACAATTGCCCATTTAATACCATTGCTCTGCAAGCTACATTAATTACCAGTCTGCTTCCAGATGCAATTCAAGGTGTTGGTAATAATCTTTAAAGTCCTTCATAGCATGGATCCAGGCTACTTGAGACACATCTCATCCCACTGAGATTGGCCAAATTCACCCTTGCTGGCAGAAAAGGCATGTTGTGGGACCTGTCAGCCTAAATATTCTGGCTAGTGGGGTCCAGGAGAAGGGCCTTTTCTGCCATTGTATCTGCCCTCTGGAACATCTTGCCCCCAGTGTGAGGTTGATCCTAACCTTTCTGACCTTTCATAAGGGCCTAAAGACCTGGCTCTGCCAATTAGCTTGAGGCCCAAGCATCAGAGTGGAGGTGGTTGATCAAATAATAACATAGCCCCCCTCCTCCCATAGTGTTTGTGGGTATTAGTATATATATTGTGATTAATATTTATATGTATTTATATGTTAGGGTGTAGACATATGCATACACACACACACACACACACACACACACATGTATGTGTCTTCTTAAGTTTTCGTGGGTGTGTGTATGTAAAAAGTTAAAATCTCGGGTGTTTTCCCGCGTCATTATAAGTTTGTTAATTAAAATGTTTAAAATCCTGGCTAAGATCACAGCTCAGAATCCTCTAAATTCCCATATATATCTATATGTGTGTTATGTACGTGTACACTTTGGAGAACAGGCAACAGAATTTCATCTTTAATGTGTGCCAGAGTGCCCACAGAAAAAAATGACAATAAAGCTTATCTTATATATTAATAGGGTGAGAGGGTGAGAGGAAGTGGGATCTGTTGTTAATAGTCTGTCTGTCTGTCTGTCTGCATTTGCAACTATCACCAATCTCTGGATTTCTGCTGTCATATATACCCACATAATCTAGATAATATGAATTCCTATGTCTTGATATATATTTTAATTCTGTCATTCGTAACTATACCTATACCTTCAATTTCTTGCATGTCTTCATTATTTCCACTCTAGAAAAACATCTTCATTCGAGTATATCCATTTTTTTCTCTTATTTTTACAATCAGTCTACATTTTTATTTTCTTTCCTGTCATTTCATTTGATAATTCACATTATTTACCATATATTTTCTTACATTCTAAGTTTCCATATGCTGTAGTTAACAATAAATGGCCCTAGAGATATTTACCTTTAAAATCAATTAAACTTTCACATAGCTCTTTAATAAAATATAGAAGGTATAGAGTAAGTTACTAGCCTTAGTCATATTTGTGCTATTTATACTTGGGACAGTACTGATGGGTTTTTGACACATTTTGACCAATATGTCACAACTTCAATGAATTTTATTTGAAGAATGATCATGTTTTGTGTTCAGATTAGGATGTACTCTTTTAGTGACCATTTGTTCAGTGATTGAAATTATGAGGCACTGAACTAATGGTAGTTACGACCAGTCCCGAAATTTATGGCCATTGCCGTATCCCTGTGATAACATTACCAAAATTCATGTACTTGGCAACACCTGTCTCCCTCACTTCTATCTGCCCTTTTGGCCATCTTGCATTTCCTGAAAATAAATGTCAATCGTTATTACAATTGAAATTTTAAATGTTTTCCCTCTAGGACTATTTATCAAGCCTTTTGCTAAATGGCTATCAGACATTAGAAGATTTGAAAGATCTACATGAAAAGCATTTAATTGAACTCAACATCAAAGATCCAGAAGACAGGACGAGGCTACTTTCAGCTATTGAGAATCTGCAGGACTCTGAAAGTATGTGCTACATTTCTGTAAAATAATAATAATGATGAAAATTGGATATACTACACAATTGTGGATGTGCCTCAGAAGGCTTTAATATATTGCACAATCTGTTTACCATTTTTTTAAGGGTGAAAGAAACCATAAAAATATTTTTAAAATATGCAAACGGCGGTGTAAATCACTTAAATAATGTAAAGAATATATAAATATCACTGTAAAGATCAAGTCCATTTTTCACTGGCATCAATGACAAATTTCTTCTTTATTTTAATTGATCTATCCTGTGACTTGCTAAAGTTATCTTAAGGGTGAAAGAATAGCTTCCTATTATTCATTGGAAATGGTAAAGGAATATGTATTTCTCAACAATACTATGAAGTATCATATGAGAGTATACACTCCCAGAGTTACCCTGATTGCCCATCACAGGCATGGGATGCACTGCTGATGGAAATGGCACATTTGCTCCAATATTTTTATTTAAAAAACCATACAGATGTCCATAATCAGGACAATGTCAATGTTCTATTGAAGATAAATCACTCAGAGTGGAAGATATCCAATGAGCTGCTAGGGAAGAATAGAAGATAAGTATATGTAACACAGGTGTTTATAAAATAGCTGAATTAAAACTGAAAGGACATTCAGTTGCTGATTACCCAAAGACAATAGGAAAGTTTGATGCTATAAAATATGTATATAATCATAATGTTGAGCTAAGGCAACTTTAATTTTATCAGCATAGAAATGTCAAGATGAATATTGATACCTTGAGAATCAGCAAACTGAAATCGGCTGGAATATGTCACTTAACAGCAGAGAGCCATCAAATTCTCTACTTTGTAAAGAAAATCATAGAAGAAAGGGAACAGCCATTGTTATTAACAAAATTGGGTCAAAGGTAGTGCTCATATACAACACCAACAATATTTGCATGATCTTAGGGTATAGATGGGCATTTTTTTCTAATTTAAAAATTACATTTTTTCATGCAAAAATGAGTATATAATGCTTAAAATTTTGCAACTAAATATTTTAGATTTTATGTAGATTTCAGCCATATGTGGAGTGAGAGCTGCCATTCTTAGGGTCTGAAGAATGGGCCCATGTAACACCCTCTCTCCACAAGCTACATTGGCTTGCAGTCTGCTTCCAAGTGCAATTCAAGATGGTGGTAATCACCTTTAAAGCTCTTCATGGCATAGGTCCAGGCTACTTGAAGGATCATCTCATCCCACTAGGATTGGCCTGTCCCACCCGTGCTGGCAGAGGAGGCATGCTGCAGGCCCTATCAGCTTGATTATTCTGGGCATATAATGCTTACAGTTTTGTAAATAAAACTTTAATGTTTTATGAAGATTTCAGCCATACATGGAATGAGAGCTTCCAAATATACATTGAAGTAATAACCAGTTTTAATTTCCTAGGCTGCAAAATTTACAGGGATAATATTTATGGTCATGAAATAAAGTGATGACTGCTGCTTGAGAGAAGGACATTAGTTTGGTATAATTCTCCAGGAACTTCTAGATTGAAAAGTCAGTTTGTCTTGTTGGTGTTTATTTCTAAACTTCCTGGAGGTGGAATTCTGATGGCTATTATTTCATCAGAAGATCATAGCCTTAAAGCCCTTGGGCAAAATCTTGCATCAGAGATATGTACGTTTTATGTTCTTCTGCTGACATTGTACATGTAGCAGGAGACTTGTATTCGGATTTTTAAAAATGAAGTCCTCAGTGGCAAAGTGGCCTTCCAGATTGCTATAGAATAGTAGTTCTTCTATTTTATAGATTAGTAACGGAGCCTGCCATTTTATAAATAAATAAACAAGGTAATGGAGATGACTAGAAAAGAAAAGTATGTGAAGATGCATAATAGGTTGTTTACTGAATTAATTGTAATGAAAGAAAGACAAGCCAATGTATTCCTGGGGTTAACATTTAGCAGAATAACTAATTCTGCATGACCTTTGCAAAATCGCAGGACTCAAATCAAGTGGAAAATTGGGTTGAAATCCTGGACATCTTTGGTGTAACTAAATATTGCATTTGAAATCAACTTTCCAAGGTCAATATTTATAATCCTGCCTGCTAAAAATGATTGTTCTAATTAAAATTGATTATGTGTACTGCTTAGGAATCAGAAGCATAATTTTATAAGAAGGCTAGTTATCAGCTAGAAAAAAAATCCTGAAAAAAATACTGAAATACTCAGAATTAAGCTTAGCCTTCCCCTCAATATATAAATGATCATTTCTATAAAACTGGATAGGACAGAGTTCTCAAAAATTTGGAGCCTTATGTTTGTTTTGCTTGAAAAAGAATTTGCAATGTTTGATTGACATATGGTCTAATTATGATATGGATTTTCTCTGTGTCCAAAAGTTTAGACTCTTGGATTTCATTCATTTCACTGCAGAGATAACAAATTCATATAACCGATCACTTTAATACTGATTATATCCAAAATAAATGACAAAAACTAAGAGAAATAAATATTTGTATTATTAGAAATAAAGGTTTTTCCATAGTAAGTAATATTATATTCATAAAGCTTTTAAAACTAATACATTAAAATAAAATGTGGTTCCAATACATTAGCATAAATGTGTCTCCAGGCTTCGACTGGAATTCATTTTAAAATGTCTAACAGTGAACCCAACTAGGGAAGCATATTTCTGCAAATTCTAGTGATTCAGTCAAGCAGAGCTTCTGATATCCATGACAATGTTTTTTGCACATGTCCTACTGAAATTCATGGCACTTCACTAATAAAGTTTACTAACTAATTCTATGTAAAAACCTTTCACCTTCTGCAGGAAAAATGGTTTATCTAGGACATTTATGCATGCTTCATGAAATGCATACTGTCATCATTTTTATATCGTCCATAATTGTAAATTTGCATACTAAACAATGCCAAAACAAGTGAATCACCTTATAGTATATCGCATATATATCACATCTGCAATCACAACAAGATCATAGACCTATTTAGATAAGCTAAGCTGTAAGGGACCCTGAGTTTTTAGAGCTTTGTTGGAGTCCAGAAAGGCTGCAGCAATTATACTTACATATAGGAATAAGCCAGGAAATTACAGATTTAAGGAGAAAAATCAGTTTCAAGGGTAAACCAAGGGTAAAAAAATGCATATAATGAATATTTATAATAAAGGTCTGTCAGAATGTATATATCAGCTTTATATTGCTTCAATATCCTCATCCTAATCCTACAGACTAAAGTAGTACAGAATATACATGTCAAAATGATGCATATCATAGACTCTGCTAGCGCTATCTTATATAATTCTGACCAAAAGCCATTTATCTTTTATGAAACTGTTTTACTTTAGGGAAATTACATGACGTCTACAAGTTGATAAAATAGTATATTTTGCTGATTCAGCGACAATTAGTAGTGATTTTTTTTTTTTTAAGGAAACTGATTTCTGTATCCTGCGCCTTTAACTAATATTTTACAGATTAAAACTGACATTTGTCATTTGTGGTAAAATGCTTTAAATCAAAATACACATTCAGTTAGGAAGCCATATGAAAAGATTAATGTGTCACATCTTTGAGAAATGCAGTCTTGCAGTAGAAAGGTCCACACTGTAGCCTGAGAGCACAATTGATTCACAGAGAATTGGATCATATTGGCCAACTGATTGTTACCTCCCTCCTGACAGTGATTCCCAGTGACAGTGATAGTCACTTCTCTCAGCCCAATTCACCATCAGGCTCTGTGACAAGCAGGCTAAAAAATAGAACTCTTTGTCACATCGTACATTGATAGCTTTCTTATAAGAACAACAGTAAGCATACTGGGAAACAAGCAGATGGTACAACCATGCAGGACAAGCCTTGGAAACAATAATAGTCTCACTTGAGATAGTACCATTATATTTTGCTCTGATTAGTATTGCTTATCCCTAGCCTTTCTTGGGGGGGGGGTTCCCTCTATTTAGTAGAGGAATTCCTTTCAAAAGTGGTAAATATAACTTTGGAATAACTACCCTGTTTCCCCCAAAATAAGACATCCCCTGATAATAAGCCCAGTCGGGCTTTTGAGCGGATGGCAATAAGGCCAAGCGCTTATTTCAGGGTTCAAAAAAAATATAAGACAGTGTCTTATTCTCAGGAAAACATGATATTTAGGGATAAACTTGAATTGCAGGCTATAGTAGTTTTATACTACTTTTAAAACATTTAGCTAAGTTATTGGTGAGCTTTAAAACATTTAAAGTTATTGGTGAGCTTCACTTTCTAGGATTCTTGATCAGAGGTTCTCCCTGCAATGTTTGAAAATACCATAGGTATATCTGAGACATCGATCTTCAAATCAGTCTAAGTTTTGCATTCCAGGCTTTGCAACAAGATGGTTCTTCATCTTTATTTTTTCATTCATGAATTAAAAATGTAATACGTTCATTATTTAGATAATTTTTAAATAATCATACTGCAAAATTATTTTAATATTTAAATAATTACTATTTAATAATGTAATGGCTGCATTAATATTCATAAAATAATAATACAAACTAAGTTACATTTAATAAATGTGCTTCATAAATAAATAATAATAAATTAAGGATATTTAAATATATATTTATATATTATATATTTAGAAAAATCCTTTTGGATCAAGATAGTTAAGATGGCTTGATATGTACAATTAACAGATTTAAGATCTGTTTAAAGTTTCTTTATGTCACAGAAGTTACATATTATTGCTGTAATCTATGGCTATGGAGAGTGGTGGGATTCAATTTTTTTAACAACCGGTTCTGTGGGCATGGCTTGGGGGATGTGGCTGGGTGGTCATATGACTGGGTGGGCATGACTGGGTGGGTGTGTGACTAGGTGGTCGTGGCCAATTCAATGTCACTCACATCGAGGGGTACCTTGCCTGGACTCTCCTTGTCCCTCTCCTCCCAGCCAGTCCTCACCTTGTCTTGCATGTTATGGTGAGAGAGGAAGCTTTTTCAAAGTCATCTTCCCCGTGATACTAGCCAGTAAAATGAGATTTTGCTATCAGAAGACCTGATGTACATGATGATGGCTGATATCAGCTCCTCTCTGTTCTAACTGTGATTCAATAAGAAACTTTCATTTCACTAGTGGAAGAACTTTGTATGCTACTTTATGCTTTTTCTCAAGTCTTGTTGACTGACTGGTTGTTTTTTATTTTTTAGATGAACAAGACCAGGAAACAGAACCAATGCCACAGATGTTAAACCCTAATCTCAGCCCTAACAAACTACAATTAAATGACTGTCCAAGAGATTCTGGTTGCTATATCTCACCGGAAATGTCAGACAATAGTAAAGAAGATCTGGATGCAGAAAATCTGTCTGACATCATCCAGAAAATTTCCATCGCTGAATCAGATTGAAACCTGCTTATATTTCCAGCAAATTATTAATACTTACTTGGGAGTTTCGAGAAGTATACTGAAATGATTTGTTTGTACAAGTATACAATAATTATAGTATACATTATTAGTTTTGAGACTATTTCATTTTATCATTTTATCAAATTTTGCAAACAAATAATATAAATGTCCTATATTATTATTTGCAACTTTCTTAAAATATACTATTTGGATTTTATACAGAATTCATATAAGATATTATATTTTTACAATATGAGTAACATTATTTTATAATTCTGTTTACCTAAAAATTTAAATATTTAAATTTAAGTATTGTAAAAAATGTATATAATTACTATCTAATTTGAAATAAAACTATATAGCTATACTTTTCTAATGCTATATTTCTATATGGTACTTTTTCCTAATACAATTAACATATAACGAGCTATTTTTTCATATAAATATTGCTATGTCTATTTTAATTAATCCACTGTGAAGAATCATGTATAATGATGTTAAAACAGTTTATATTGCTTTAAGGTAAATGAATATATATCTATATAAATTACATTATTTATGACATTTAATTCTGGATCCTGATACTTTGTCCATATGTTTATTTTTCCCCATATATTTTTCATTATTTTCTTCACAGTGTGGAAGATTAATTATTAGCAGCAAGTAATTTTCTTTTCTCAAAAATTTTTTCAATATGTGTGAGATGCAAATAGACATTTAGGAATAAATATTTATTACCAAGCATTTTTTTTAAAAAAAATGTTCTCAGTAATGTCACATCAGCTTTATTTTATAATGATATATAAATATTCTCTTGCAAAATAAATTAAGTATGTGCCATGAAGTCTGTGTCAACACTTTAGTGACCATACAGATAGACTTGTCTAGAATGATCTGTCTACATCAGTCTGCTCAGCATTTCCCAACCTGCTGGTACTGTAAATATGTCCACCCATCTGATACTGGAAATCCTCTTTCATCTTTCCCAGCAATATTGATTTCTGGACCATTGCATAATGTGTCTAAAGCAAGGGTGTCAAACTCACGTCGTCAAGTGGTGTCACGTGAGGTGTCAGGACTTTTCCCCCTTCGCTAAACTCAGCATGGGTGTGGCCAGCGTGTGACGCATCCAGCCCGTGGGCCAGGAATTTGACAGCCCTGGTCTAAAGTATGACAAAGTGAGCCTAGCTATTTGTACTTTAACTGAGAACAGAATATTGCTTTGTTCTTTGATCCATATGTTTTATTTCTTGATAATGTGTGGTGTTTTCAAGAGTTTCCATAACACCATAGTTCAGAATAAAATAATGTCACTGAATTGTAATGTAAATATTTTTTCCAAGAGATGATATAAAATAGCCTAGCTTTTCCAGCTGGGAAGTCTGTTTAAGTTCTGTAATCGTACAACTTTAAAAAGCAGGTCATCTAATTTGGTTAATGAATTTGCCTAAAGTTCTTTGAGTCTAACTTGTCTCAATTTTTTTTCAAAATAATGAACTATATTAATACTTACAGCTAAGGAGAACTGCATTAGGATCAAATGCAGATACTGGCCACACCATCGTCATATCAAACAGAACTTATATGACTAACCGTATTGACATGGTTGCAATCTTCAAACAAACATAATTTATAAATAGTTCTGCAAATAATATATTGTGATATTTGTCCAGAAGGAAGGATAGTACAGGATGATAAAGCATAGAAATAAATAATAATAATAGAAATAAATAATAGAAATAAATAATAATAAATTTTAGAAAGTGGATTTCAAATTGGATTTGAAATGAACAATAAAGCATACTTTCAGTATTGTCAAATGCAAGTCAGGTGGGGAAGAAAGTTATTTTTTTGCTGTCCGTTCACTTTCTGACTTTTCTTGTTGAGTTGGGTTTATCTGAAAGCATGTTCTGTTTAACTTCAGTTCTGTTAAAAATCCATGGTTTAGGTGTAGGATGATCTCACTAACGTATGTCTTTATTTTAGTTTGCATAAATTGCTGCAGTATTTTGGAGAAAGGGGAGAGTCTATAAAGCTCCTGTTTAAAAGTTTAGGGAATGTGATTGGAAATATCATTTCTGCCCGAGAATTGTTACTAAGAAACTTAAAAATATTGAGATGATAGACAAAGTGTGACCTATTGTTCTTAAAAGCAGAATAAAAGGAAGCTGTTCTTGTTTTCATTAAAAAAAATCCTTGTTAACGATATGTTTTCACTGTAAACCACCCAGACATAACTTAGGTGAGATGTGCCATCGAGAAATTAAATTTACTTATAATTTACTCTTACTATTGCACTCATGGATTAAACCACAACTATAGAACTGTAACAAAAGAGTTCATTGGTGACTAAGTCAGACAAATAGAAGTCTAATTAGGATTTATGTTCAACTTCTACAGCAGTTGAGTCATATCTCTTACCCATATAGAATTAGGCATGCCACTGTCAGTTTTTACTTATTTTTTTTACCAAGAAAGAAAACAATACAAACTAAATAATCTAAATCAAATGTTTTCAATAGTTAGCTGTTTTAATATGACTTCTGCATTTATTTTATCTGAGGCATGTCAAAGGCTACAAAAAATAATTGGAATGGGACAATAAACTAGCCAGAACTGGGCGGGGGGGAACGGGACAGGACAAAATGTGACTTTATTTTAATTAAACTGAGCTAGAGTTATATTTGGTTAATATATACTATTATATAGTATGACTAGGTCTCGTGTATTTAATAATCCTTCTCTTTTTGTCACATTCAAATGACAATTCAATGGCAATTGTTAGGGAAGCTAAGAAGTGGATATTAAACTTCCAGGAAGGTGTAATGCCAAGAGCTCAATATGATCAGATTTCTGATATACAAAATTTATTGTAATTATCATAAGCAATTTAATAAATAAATGGCAGCAGCATCTGCAGCAAGTGTTTTATTTGGGAAGGTGTAAAAATGATTTAGAAATAAGGCCTGTACACTGCATGCAACCTTCTGAATCATCTTCATCTTTTGTATGCAACAATACCCTAGGAGATATGGTACAGAATCAGGTACACTTGGAGAGGAAATATTTTGCCTTAGAATGTGATTGCATCCTTCTTCCCTTAACCTTGGTTGATCCCATTTTTATGGAAGAACAAGCAAAAAAGATTTGTGGCTATCAATCTATGCAAAAGAGCCTCTTTAGGAATGGGATATGTATAGGGGGAAAAAAAGAAAATCTCTTGGAAACAAAGTTTACACCTTCCTTAAATAGCTGGTGAAAAAAAGGGTATGAAAAATCAAAGTGGAAGTGCAGAAAAGCATTTATATGATTATAAATTTGTGTATCCCTTAATTTCTTAACTTTTTAAATTTCATGTTTTGATTTACTGTTAAGAGATCAAATGTAAATGAATAGTGAAATCCCTGTTGAGTTCAACTATGGAGTTCATACATGGAATCAGGACCAGAGGGGTTTTTTTATTGTTATTTTGTTTAATGCCTAACATTGTATTCTTAATTTTCTTGACTTTTGACTAGCTTGGACTTTTGTATCAATGTTTGAAAAGCCTTTGGTATTGCATTAGTGGATTAATTAATAGTCCTTATGTAGCCTTCATTATTATTTGAATTTGAAACCTCTGTGTTCAAGTGTTAAGAGGGAGGCATTAAACGTTTACCTGAAAGGATTAGCTTCAGATTGTACAAATGAAAGTCCAGGTAAAACTCATCTAATTAAAACCTATTCAACTGAAAATCTTATTTATCAGAAACGAATGTTTCTTTTATCAATATCATCAACAAACTATTCACCTGAGCAGCTAGCAATAAGCAAGAGAGCTTCACATGAATGTCAATTAATTTAATTTGCTTTTCAAATAAACTTGCTCTCCATGTGTGCAGTTTAAGTACTGTTCTGTGTATCCATCATATAAAGGTCAATTAACCTCAATTTCAGTTATTGGACTTGAATAAAATAACCACAACTGAGATGCTATTGTTTTATTTTCTGCTATTGGAACACAAATGCAAAAATGTGGGGAGAGATGGCTTTCTTCCCAAATGTTTCATTTTGGAGAGATATAGACTAAGTATTCAATCAATCAAATATTTTTTTAATATTTCCATTGTGTATTCAATTTTAAAAGATGTCATTGTTTAGCACATACCTTAACAGAAGTTATATACAGTATTTTGTGCAAAATGTAAAGTTGTAGTTTAAGAAGAGTTTCGGATATAATAATTCATATTTACACTAACACCTCTCTTGGTGGAAATATTGTTAAAGATCATTCTAATTCTGTAAAACGGTTTAACTTTTAGCCTTGGATTATCAGCATTTACAGATGATATAAAAAGTGTTTGCAATGTAAGAGAAGCTTTGAAAGCTCTTGTGTGGAATCATGCAAGCAGCACTAATTGAAGGCCCATCAGTGGTTTAGAAATAATTGAACCAAAAGTAATTGGCTGAAGCCAGGATTACTGATTTGGGAATGCACCAATTTCAGTCTGTTTCTAATATTGCAGACAGGTATTTAGAAAGCACACTTGACTGGAAGGTTAGTTTATCATTACCTCCTGTGCTGACTTTGCTTCTGTACATCAGCAATTCCTTTGCTAAAACATAGCCATGCGGTTATTGTTCAGTGATCACATAATATTATGTAACTTCTTTCAGCAACTAGTATATTACCCAATTTAAGTAATGGCTGCCTGGTGGCTCACTTGACTGTTGCATTCAAAAAGCATTGGGACACAGCTGAATTAGTATGCTTCTGTTTATGAAATCAGTCTTCTATATTCTCCCCTCTAATTACCATCTTGCAAACATCCCAAATCCACTCATCCGAAAAGCACTACAAAACTCTACCTACTTGCTTCTTCTGGAAAAGCAAAACAACTTTTTTATTTTTGTCTATGGAAATTCTCAGTCATCCAGATCATGGTTGTCCAAGGGTGCTTTTTCAAAAGGCAACTGGATTTTCTTTGTTTTTCCTTGAAGACATTTCACTTCTCATCCATGAAGATTCTTCAGTTTTTCTTCAGTTCAGTTCTTCAGATAGAACTACAAGCTTAGTAAGCTCTAACACAGGGGTATCAAACTCGATTTCATCGAGAACCGCATCAGGGTTGTGTTTGACCTCGGGAGGCCAGGTGGGTGTGGCCAAGGTGGGCGTGACTAGCTCAACATCACTCATTTCAGGGGGTGCTTGTGGTGGCTGAAGTGCTCTGCCAGTGAAAATGGAGCTCAGGAGGGCCACCAGTACTCCATTTTTTCTGGCAGAGGGTTGCAGGAAGCTGTTACAGCCAAAAACAGAGCTCAGGAGGGTCATGCGTGGCCCTCCCAAGCTCAATTTTTGCTGGCAGAGGGCCAGTCCTTCTCTTTTTCCAAGGCATCCCCATAGGCCAGATCTAAGCACCCTGCGGGCTGCATCTGGCCAGGGGGGCTTGAGTTTGACACCTTTGCTCTAGCATATTTTCAAACTCAGTCTTACTTTTACTGGACTTTTTTTCTATATCAAAGTTGATGCTGTTCAGTTTTCAGAGAGTTGTGCTGATGAGAAACAAAAGGACAGAGCCCTAACCACCTTTACAAAATTCCTTTCCAATATTCCATTTGGTTGGATAAGAATAAAACTCCCCACGATGCATTACTTAAGATTTCTTATTAATTGGCACTCTAGTGGGCCATCCCAGTAGACTGATTGATATTTGAGAGAAGATGGTATGATTAATAACTCATGTCTTATACTTTGATAAGGCTATGAGATATTTGCTATCTAAGACAGCCAGTTTGGATTGAGGCAATGCCTCCTATGAAGCATCTTGAACATCATCAGGGTCTTGTGGAACAACATTTTGATTAGCTAAGTGAAAATGAATCACAAATGTTGGCATACAGTTATGGTACAGATTTTATCCAAGGAATGATCAATTGGTTACAGAGTTGATGAAACATTAAAAGGGAAGATCAATGGAAGACATTATATCCTTATAAGACAAAGATGTTCTACTCAAGGCCTTACAGTCTCCACCATCCTCATCAGGCATGGATTGCAATTACAAAGATATGGTAATTGGTAGCATTAAATCAAGTCCCTGAGTGAGATCTGCTGTCACAGCAGCAAGTCCTTCACTGAAAGCTGGCAAAGAAATTCTCCCTCTTTCCTCTGGCACAGCAGGAACATCAGCCAATCACTGGCATACAGACAGGCTACATTTTCAATCTGTTATAACTATCTCTAGAAGCAATTTAGTTAATTGTTGGAATCAGTCTTTTATAAAGAATCCCATATTTTCAAGTTATATTCTTTAACTCAAAAATAATGCATTTATATAGGCAAGACTCAGGGAGGGGAGAGGCAAAGATCCAGAGACATAGAAAAAACTGACTTAAAATTGTAGTCAATGCTACAGTCTATGTTTACTCAGAAATAAATCCATAGTATGTCCAACAATTGGGGGGAAATGGGCAAATATACAGAATTTTATTGGACAGTCTGGTTTGATCTTCAGTCAGCTTTATCCTCTGGCAGATTCACTGTGAATCCATTGTGAAGCGCACTAAATTTAAGTCTGCTGGACAAGGCACTGCAAGAGCAGTGAGCAGGCCATGGAAGTAGAGAGACGGTGTCCCCTCCTCCTCCTGCAGTCCATTACGACGTGGAGAATTGGCTGCAGCTGGGCTGGGCCAGTGTCTTGGGGCGGAGAGAAAGTCATGCATCTCCCCGAATGACTAAGGTGCACGCAGCACCAACAAGGGCTGGAAGAAGAGACAAATACAGGACCGCTTTGCTGCCACTCTGGAATATGGAGCGAGTCTCCATCCGCCACCGTCGCCCTTACCTTCTCAGGCAAATAGTGAGTGGGAGAGGAGGGCGAGGGGTGGGGCCAGCCAGTGGTGCGATCACCCGACAGAGAGCCACAGCAAAGGGCCCAAAGAGCCGCATGCAGCTCCAGAGCCGTGGGTTGCTGACACCCGCCATAGACCATAAAAGGATAATTTGGATGACTGGCAACTCCTAGCTGATGATTCAAGCAAAGAACCTTTAATTTCCACATTTGTCATCTAGGTTCATATAATGTTCTAAGCCAAGGTTTGTTTGGCCGTGTTCATACAACTTAATATAACAAATTGCAGTATCTGGGGTCATACAACATGTTAATCTAAAAACAAATAAGCCATATTTGTCATACTTTCAAATATGAATTTAGCTTTGAACTGTGAACAAATTCCATCAGAAGGCTGCTTCTAAGTTGTTTCTCACCCTGAGTTCAAAATTGCACTGGCAAATGATACTCTGTGTTGCTAATGATTCTTCCTAATCTATTCTTTGAGGAGAAATTTCCTCAATATATACTACATGCTTTAAACATGGTTAGGAAATAGTTGTGCTAGTCACAAATAGTTGATAAATTCTACTGCACTTTCATATGCTACAGCCTACAATGTAGGGCTTTTGGGAAAGGTTGAGAAGAGAAAAATGACAGAAGAAAGGAATTAAAACTACTACTGGAATTTAGAAACAGACATGATAGTTCTTATATATTTCAGAGAGAAATATTATTTCCAAAACTGTTTACATTTGTGGAATTCTTTATCATCCTTACTAGTGCAGATATTCTGACAAAATCTAGCATTACCAATTCCTCTGAATATAATCCTTATATAAACAAGGCTTATTCCTTACACAGCATTTTAACTGATGCTCTAAAATATATTCGCTCTCAACAATATTGGTTAACTGGCTGTTACTATATATTTTCAATACTGACAGATTTGCTTAATCACACAGTGATGATACATAGCCATGACCAATAAACTAATATATAGTTTGAAAGCTGCCAACTTATTATTCCTTGCAGTACCCATTTGATGCCATGGTGTACTTTTCAGATTAAGGTAAAGAAGCGTTTAAATGATTTAAAGAATCCTGGTTGCAGACATTATTACTTATATGTCATCCAATAGCTCCTTGGACAGGAAAATGGTTTGAAGCAGCTCTGAGTGGATGTAAAATATTACCGTCATGTTGTTTTTAATTCTCAGTCTTCTACTCTACGCCCAACTCACCTGCATATGTTAGTTTTAAGCATTGGGATTCAGAGTGAAAAAGAAATGTTAATAAATAAATACATATTTCATGAGTAATAGAGACCAGCACTAGAATTAATCACTACAGCCCTTTGACTGACCTAGCTGTCTATTGATAATTGTGCCATAATATATATATAGCTGGTTTTGACAATAAAAACAAACTGTTTGCAAATAATAGCCTGAATTGCTGTTATGAACCGACTATTCATACAGGACTTAATTGGGTATCTTTGGATCAATCATTCTATCTCAGCCCCAACCTATCTCTTAAGCTATATTTCTGAGTTTAAAATGAGAAGGGAATCCCATAAATGCTATGTGAAACTCTCAGACAAAATTAAGCTATAAATATCGTAAAGAAATAATATGCATGCTTGTCCCCATGATTTAGATGTCATTGCCAGCAAATCTGTCCATGTGTCATCTCTTCACCTTTTAAAATGGTAAGATAAACAATTATTTACAAATTACAGTAAAAGGTATATACTCTGAGCAGTAGCCATGTGCAAAAGTAATTTTCTACATATTTTCTACAAAATTGGAGACACTTGCTAATATAGTATGACTTTGCTTGAAGAAAGTTGTTCCACAAAGATTGTTGTCATTAACACAAGGTATTTCAAATAAATTTTTATGATCAAAAGAAAAAAGAAGGAATGCTAAAATGTAATAACTGATTGGAAAGGTCAGTACAGTATGAAAAACTGCTAGCATTTGTAGACTCTAGGATTGGAGGTAGGGTGAGACAAGTCTTTGAGGATGCTAGGTTATTAAAAACCTTCTTGGACAAAAAAGAAAAAAAAGCTACAAAAAAGGTGCCAAAGTCTGAGAGAACTGACATTTGTAGCCATAGCAATAATTTTGCAAATGACTAATCAGAAAGAATCAATAA